TAGAATCTGGGTTACAGGGAGGAGAAAGCCATCTCTTTGGAGGCTATTGCTAAAGAGGACCTTAGACACTTGCAGCAGGCCACATCTTCCCGAGTCATGTGGGTGTTTGTGCTTTTACGTTTGCATGCATGTGGAGGACCTGTAGGACAAGTTACCTAATGAAGGGGTGATGTGAGGAAGAGCATTCCAGAAAGAAGAAACAGCTCTGGAGGGCAGGGATTCTGTCTGTTTGGGTTACTGCTTTATCCCTTGTGCTAAAACAATTCTTGGGACACAGTAGGTACTCAATGAAATCTGTGATATGAATGACTACGTAAAGGTGGGAGATAGGAGTGAATGTGGCTACACTGAAGAAGTGAAAGAAGATCAGTGGAAGGAGGCTTAAAGTTTGAGGGGCCAAGGTAAGGGGTGAAATTTAAAAGATCAAAATGGAGCTGGTGAACACAGTTAAGTCCTTTGGACTTTATATTGGGGCAACAGAGTTTTTCAATTAGTGAGAGATTTTAAGCAGCATAGTGACTTAAGCAGACTCACATTTTAGAAATCATTCTGGCTAGAGAATAGAGACTGCTTAGGAGGCTGTTGGAATACCCTTGGGGAGAGATGGGAGGGGCCCTAACTCTGGTGGAGGAGCAGGCATGGAGAGAGATTGAGGATAATTTAGAATCAACCATTTACAAACTGAAAGAAACCTTAGACAGCTTGTCTAATCTTTTACATGAAGAGGTCAGAGAGGTTTAATTGACTTACTCTTGTAGTGGTTTTCTTTTTCTTCTTCCTCTGCTCTTTTGGTATTTCTTAAGACATTTCTCAGAATCGCCCAATTGAGACCTTCATCCCATCACACCTGAACAATTCACTTAATTTTGCCTTTGTCTAATGTATTGGTCCTATGGTTTGTATCATCTGCCCCTAGAGCCAGAGAAGACTGCTAATTAACTTGCTCTGTAGAGTAGCACTTACAAATGGATAGCCAACACTGCTTCACAGTGGTGGTCTGTAAGGCGGAAAAATTAAACCCATAAATGGAGGATGCAGGAAGGCCTTCCCAGTTATGTACTCCTGAAGAAGTCTTTGAATATTTGCAGGCAAAGCTTCAGAGATCAGCAAACTAAAGGTTCAGGATGCAACCTTCCAAGGGGAATTGCTGAATCATAGGCAGATGTTTAAAAGTTTCTATTAAAAATTATCACACTGTTTTCCAATGAGATTGGACCATTTTACACTCCCAGTGTAAGAAGATGAAGGTTCCAGTAGTGTCACATTTTCCCCAACATTTGGTATTGTCAGCTTTCCATTTTAGCTGTTCTAGTGGATGTGAAATGGTATCTCATTATGTTTTCAACTTTCACTCTTGAAATTACTGTGTGGCTGGCATCTCTCTCCTGATTGGACCCAGACTGATACAAAGTCTTAGAAGCGAAATGAAAATGAAACACCTTTTTAACTTAAAGATACTTTATCAGGTACTTGATAAAAGTAGCAGTTTCCCATGACAAAAAGTGTTTACTCATACAGAAATGAGGTACCGTATTTAGAGAAATGGAAATGATTTACACATTTGGAATTGAGCTGGCTAAGAAAAATAAAGCACATGTAGAGATTTTTTTCTTATGCTTTTCTACTTAGTAATAATCATAACCATGTTTGTTTACTTTAGGATGAGCAAGATGTATAAATTTTATGATCTTAGGAGAGTCCCTGCAGTACCTAGATACTCAAAATTGGCTTAATCTAAAGTAAATTCAGGGGAGTCATAGACAACGAAAGGACTTACAAGCTCTCTTCTTTCTTCAGTAAAAAATTTCAAGACCTACTGTCATCTGTAGGGAAACATTTGTTAATTGTTTAAGTAGAATTCAAGGAGAACAGTTCTATAAAAGAAAGAAGCACAGAACGGTAGTTAAGATCATGGGTAAGTTACATCTCTGTGAGTCAGTTTCCTCATCTGTGAAGGGAGGCTGTCTGCAATTTTTACCTTAATTTTTTAAAAAGGAAAAAAAATCAAGTGATCTAAAACTCTGTAAATTATTGGACTCAAATAGCACTTCTCCTGTAACAATATTGATCATTGCTAATACTTACATGGCATTTATGGGCCAGCACTATTCTAAGTACTTCGCATGTGATTAAACTCATTTAATTCTCACAACAACCCTATGAGGTGGAATACTAGTATTCATCCTCATTGTATCAAAGAAGAAACTGAAGCAGGTTAAGTTAATAACGTCCCATGATCACACAGCTAGAAAGCAATAAAGCTGGGATCTGACCCCAGGCAGCCTTGATCCAAAGCTCTGGAAAACTATGCTATGCACTGGAACAGAAGAGAACACAAAAGGCATGCATTTCTCTTTCCTTACAGATGACTTGCAGCCTGGATACCTCAAGAGCTCCAGTGCACTCGGAGTGGGTTCCAGAAGTGCTTACTTAGCATGGGCCAAGATCCCACAGGTGCAGCTTGGAGCAAGATTATTGTCAAGGTGACACTCTTTGCACCCACAGGGTAATAAGATCTGAGGAAACTACACTGCATATAAATGAAGGATATGCTTGTAGTACCTCCAACCTTCACATACCTTTAAACAATCAATTCAAAGCATTTAACTAAACTCTCTTTTCCAGGGGAATGGACCTCAGGCAGACCATAAAGAAGCATGGAGTGTTAAGGGCGCGACAGGCCGCGCTTACAACTGGTAGCTTACAATGCTACAACTGGAAACTTGACCTTCGATTCCTATCTCACAATACGCTTGGGAAGTGGAATAGTTTTGCACCAATTTCTTGCACCTGGTAAACAAGTAGGCAGAGAAGAGTGGTATGTAAAGGATGTAAAACCATGCAAAAGATGACTTATTGAAAAATACAGAAAACACAAAATAAAAATCGTTCCTCATTATTAGGTGAAATGTTGTTGGGGAACAGAATATTTGCACAGTGCTAAACCATCAGCCCTCAGATTACTTACTGACTGCAAAGGGGAAAATAGATGCTTACAATAGAGAGATAGGACTGCCACCACCAAGTCTTCAAACCTGACCACAGTAACTGTAGGACAACCTGATGTGATGCACGGTCGACCACATGATAACATCTTAAAAGTATTCACTTTTTATTGAAATATAGTTGGTATACAACATTCTGTAACCTTCAGGTGTACTACATAGTGATTTTATATTTGCATACATTATGAAATGAACATGATAAGTCCAGTAACCATCTGTTCCCATAAAAAGTTATTAAAATATTATGGACCATATTCCTTATGCTGTATACTATATCCCTGTGGCTTATTTATTTTGTAACTGGAGGTTTGTACTTCTTTTTTCTTTTTTTTTTTTGCGGTACGCGGGCCTCTCACTGCTGTGGCCCCTCCCGTTGCGGAGCACAGGCTCCGGACGCGCAGGCTCAGCGGCCATGGCTCACGGGACCAGCCGCTCCGCGGCATTTGCGATCTTCCCGGACCGGGGCACAAACCCGTGTCCCCTGCATCGGCAGGCGGACTCTCAACCACCACGCCACCAGGGAAGCCCCGGTTTGTACTTCTTAATCCCCTTCATGTATATAGAATATATTCCTAGAACAAGTGGGGAAAGTTAAATAGGAATGGAACACTCGATATTATCATAAAATTGCTAATTTTCTTAAGTGTAATAATAGTGCTATGGTTATATAGGAGAATGTCTTATTCTTAGGAGATACATGCTTTAATGTTTAAAGGCAAAGTGTTGTAATGTCTGTAACTTACTTGCAAATAGTGATGCAAAAAAAGGTGGGTGTGTGCATGGCCGTGGGTATGAGTGTATGGATGTGGATGTATGGGTGTGCCTGCCCACCTATGTGTAGAGAGAGAGAAAGCAAATGTAGCAAAACATTAACCATTGTCAAATCTAGGTAGAGGGTATATAGGCGTTCATCGAACTATTCTTATTTTTGTTTATTTAAACATTTTCATAACAATAAAAGCTAGAAACAAAATAAAATTTTAAAAGTCACACTACTCCCAGAAATACTCCTGCTAACATGTTGGTTTAAATCCTTTTAGCCTTTTTTTTTTACATGCACAGATGACTTTTCCTTAAAACGAAAACAAAAAACAACACAGGATCAAATATACATTGGTACCTGTTCATTTATTCAGTCAAATAAATTAACAAATGTTTATTTAAATATATCTTCCACAGGCCAGGTACATAAATAAAAAGATATCTTTGAGTTTTCACTGAATGTACCGTAAGAATTCAGTGTGCCTCATTTATTACAGCTATAGTTTGTAAAAATCATTTAAGAGTAAATAGATGAAAATTTGTAAACTTTTAGTAACTGCATTATATCTACGGGCATCCTCATCCTGAAACATCATTGCCAAATTTAATAAGATTTTTGTTGGCATTAAAAACTTTTGCTGTTTATTCGTTTAACAAATATTTACTGTCTGTACTGTTCAGTTCCAGGTGCTGTGGGTATATAGGTGTCAAAAACCAACTCTGCCCCTCTGAAGCTCACTCTGACACAGGATTTGAAATGTATTAGTACCCTGATTGAAAGGGCAGGGATTGGGAAGTCCAGAAAATGGGTTCCTAATTTACCCACTAGTGGATTCCAGAGGAGCTTCATGGAGGAAGTGACGTTTAAATTGAGATTTGAAGGATGAATAGGAGTTAGATTCATGTATCGCTAAATTGGAACATGGGCTCTGGGGTTACATAGCTTGATACAGACCTCAGGCAAATTGCTTAACCAGCCACCTCCGCTTGAGCTGAGGCACTTCTCTGAGAACTCCCTGTGAACTCTAAGGGCTACAATTCCGAGGAACGAAGAACCCCCCAGCATTCCAGAGTCAGGACCAGGTGGGGCGAACCAACAGGGTCTCCCCGACAGCCCCGCCCCGCTGAGCGCAAGCGCCAGCACGCTCAACCCTGATTGGCCCGCTCTTCCAGCTCGCCGGCATCACTGTGTCCAATCGGCGTGGCGCTTGTTGAACGGCTGCGGCGACCGACGTATACAAGGGGCTTGAGCGGCTCGTGGAGAGCGCGGCCGGTTGCGCCATGAACTTAGGGTAAGCTGTGGAGAGAAAGGTGGTGGAGAGCGGGTGAGGCTTGGGTTGGCTCTTGGAGTCCTTCGCGGGGAGCCTTCCAGGCCTGCGGCGCCCCAAGCAGCAGTGCCCGGCTTCCTGAGGTTGAGGGGGCGAGGGGCTGGGTGGGCCTTTACAGCCTCCGCAGACTTCCGTTTTCCAGTTAATAACTCGCGAAACTGTCCGTGCCTCCTTTCCGCCTCCTCATTTACTTCAGGAGGGAGAGGGAGGAGAGGCGTGAGAGGAGATAAAAGGTGAGGGCAGGTGGACAGATAAAGCGTAGCGGCTTCTTGGGGAGAAATCCTGGCCCGGGCCCTGGTGCTTTGCGACCCTGTGTGGGGGTTCTTTGCAGAGTGTGGGAGCGCCCAGAGGAGCTTAGCGGCCTACGTACGTGCCGGGAGCCGAGGCTTCTCGAGGAGTCGTGTATCACCGGTGCCTGGCACCTCATAGGCCCTCATTAAGTAGTGGTTGAGTAAATAAAAAGGACTGTTGCGTGGTTTATCACCACTGGGAAGTTTGATATTTCAAGAAGATGAAAAGTCATCAGACTTACACGTGTGCACCTCGTTTAGCAAATGGTTTCTGTGTTCTAGAATCTAGGGATAAGAAACAAGACAGTCTGTCCCTGAAGGCGTTTGCAACGCGGTAGTGCTGAATAGACGGTTTCATTCAAGGTCTTTCTTTTGCTTAAGTTTCACCGACATAAACATGAACTGTTTGTAACCGTGCTACCGGGAAACCCTTAAAACCCATTCTTTATGGTGTTTTTATCTTAGTAAGTTGAAATCATTTGATTTCCCCAACCTTAGCATCACCGCAAATTTCGTGTTCCCTTTTTTTGGCCCGCGAGATTTAATTTTGTCGCTTGGACGTCAGTTTTGTCCCTGTTGATATGTATTAACGTACGTCTATTCTCTCTCTCTCACTAAAACAATAAAATAACTGTGTGTACTGCTATTTTTGTTTTCAGTGGAATTTTTATTGGGACCTTAACAGACGTACAAGTTTCGTTGGTAGTATCTACTGTTACTTTGTGCTCTTGGCGTTTGACAGGCACAGATAAAGTATAGCGGGCAAAGTTTATTATAGATGTATTGCTGTGGTAGTTACAAAAGTGTCACTAAGTGTGAATATGTATTAGTTGAAATATTCAGAATAGAGTAGAACTCCATGCTCAAGCAGTTAATAACCCTGGTGGCAGTCTTACGGCTTCATTTTCAAATACTGCTCTAACAGGCCATAGAATGTGTTACCATGAGACCATTATGAAGCTAATAAATGGTAGCTAGATGTGTTTTGCTCCATTAACATAGGTGAGGAGTTTTGTAACAGCATTATTTTTTCCAGTCTAGAGTTAGAAGAACTAAATGATGTTACGATAACCAGATTAATTTATTCCTTGTCAGTAACCAAATGAAGTTTCAGATTAAAGATGAGAAATTGCTTGTATTGTTGGAAAGTTTCAGTAATTTTCTCCATGAAGTTTTTGATTTTATGTTGAATTGAAGAGTGTTTTAAATTAAAAGAATGGTTTCAACTATACATCAATTTTTAAAAGAAAAATGAACATCTATAGAAATTTTTTTAAAAAACATTTTAATATTTACAAGATTCCTTTATAAATTCAGGAGAACAAATTTACTTTCAAGGTTCAACTGAGCATTTCTGTCTATTTAAAATGTTGCTGTTTCTTAAAAATGACAGACAACTTTCTTTTATTTTGCAGAGATGGTTTAAAGCTTGAAACTGAATTATTGGATGGAAAAACCAAGCTAATACTGTCTCCATATGGTATGCTATATTACTAGAAATCTAAAATATTAACTTTTAAATTCCTACGAAAAATGTGTAGCTGTTTAACAGATGTTTTGCTTGTAGTGGAATATTTAAATGACACTGAAAAAAAGCTGGTTTCCCTAACTTCCTCAAATTTATTTTTAGCCAAGTAAAGTCACATTACATCATTGCTTACCACTGTCAGTATTTATTCATGGAATTTAATGTTCCAGTATATTTCATTTGTAATGTTTCTTTATTATATTTGTATACAGCACATATGCTTATTGCCTAATGAATAATCTAGGTAAAACTTATGCAGTTATGTTCTGTGCATGTAAAGAATGTATTGTTTGAGAAAATTTATAATAAGACCATAGTTTTAAAGTCATTTTTAGTTTTAGTTTTAAAGCGCAGAGTATGCTTTGGTACTCTTTTCATTCACATTATTTTCTTTTTCTCTGATCTGTTTATAATTTTACCTTGGAAAATAAACAAAAATGAAATATAAATACTTGAACCACACTGTAAAAGAACACTCAGGCAGGACCTAAAGTTAATGCTTTGAGGGTTAATATTTTTATTTAATATCTTCTTAAAATAATGTTAATTAAAATTTTCTTTTGTGACTGCCTTAGTATGTTTTCGGTTGATAGTTTAGTAATTTTTTTTTTCTTTTCTAGAACATAAATCAAAAATTTCTGTAAAGGTAAGCCAAATGACTTTGACCTGACTTGTTTTCAAATGTAAAATGCAGTTTACTTTACAGTGGTTTGAAAATAATTCCTGTCAAACTGTTACACAGGGTTTGGAATGATGGTGAAAAGTTATTATACCCTTGCTTTCAGGCTGGTCCTTTTACAGAAATGGATTCATAATTTTTCAGTTTAAAAAGCCTCCTAGAACTCACTTCTCTAGATCAGTTCTGTCCAGTAACACTTTCTGCAGTGATGGAAATGTTCTAAAATCAGTGCTGTCCAATATGATAGTCAGCCACTAGCCATGTGTAGTTATTAAGCACTTGAATGTGGCCAGTGTGACTAAGGAAGTGAATTTTTAATTCACTTGTTTGATTTTTAATTTAATGGCTACTGTACTGGACAGTGCAACTCGTGACATCTTTAAAAATAGTCAACCTTTAAAGCAAAAATTTTTTTTTCATACTCAAATTGCATTTTCCCACACCAAAAAGATGTATTTGATTGACAAAATCTTACATGCATTTAGCTTCCTCCTCTAAGAAGTTACACTTGAGCTAAATAATAGTTTTCCTTTTAAATTATTTTTCTTTATCAGGAGCCCACAGAGCCTTTTTCTACAAAATACATTACTGCTTCAAAATTTTGATACCACTACTCTTCTTGTTTCCCATTTCTTTTTCCATTAAGCAGCAGAAATTTCTACTGTCCCCCTCTATAACTTACTGTAGCCCATTTTATTTTGCAGTATCTTAAAGTCTGTCTTTCCATATCTTGACTAGAGACTGCTTTGGGTGATGTGGCCCTTTTCTCTTCAACTCTGAACCCCTGATGGCTTTGCTGTTTCTTCCTGGTTTAATCAAGGTGGAAAAGTTGCTTGAGAACCCAAGATATCAATTACTTGATAAATGGGTAATGCTGATCAGAGTAATTCCACAAGCTACCTATAAAAATTATTACATGCACACACACACATACACAGTATATACATTGTATAGTTTTTTCCTAACCCTGCGCTATTAAAATATTGCAACTGACTGTTCTTACTTGAGTCACATTAACAAATACAGTGCTCCTTTTCATGCTCCTAGATAGAAATCAACTATTACACATAGTTTTTTTTATCTTCACCTGACCTCAATTCTGTCGCACACCACACGTTCCCTCTTCTATTGTGTCCTTAATGGATGTGCTATGGTCACTACATTTGTGAAGATATTTCATTATCTTTTTAACCAACTTAGAACATCTGGAGATCCCCTTTTATGCCTGTAATAAACAAAGTTACTAGTCTTGGACTTTTTGTAGAAACATTACAAAATTCTTTTAGCAGTTTAGGGATTTTTTTATTCTAGGATTCTTCTTTCCAGAGTAACTAATAAGTCTCTGCTGATATTGATCTTAAATTATTTATTGTCTTAAAGCAGATTATTTGAGTTTATTTCTCTTGCTTTTGGGACTCCAAAATACTGATGCATGGTAACTATGTGAAGTGATGGGTATGTTAATTAGCTTGATTGTGGTGATTATTTCACAATGTATACATATATCAAATCATCAAATTTTACACCTTAAATATATATGATTTTTAATGGTCAATTAAATCTCAGTAAAGCTGGAAAAAAATACTGATGCAACCTAAATCTCCTTTTTATATTGACTTTATTTCAAGGAGCTTCTCTTCCCTTATTTACAGAGGTTCCTGAGATGCTTATTTCTTTCTTTGCTCTTCACAGAAGACAAAAACCAAAAACAGTAGTGCTGTCTTCCTTTTTTTGTTTTAATCAGTTTTTTAGTTTCCAAAATCTCACAGTTCTGTAGATATATGTTGAATTCTCTTTTCTGTAAGTTATTCATGAATTCACTCATCATAGTGCTTTTCTTCTACTGGGGTAAGCTAAGTGACTATACTACCTACATTTCTGTTTTTCCTCTTCCTCACAGGTCGAATTACTGTCGTGTACATAGTGTGCTCTTTAAACACTGAACTCTATCCCATCATCATGAAGTTTAACAAACTGTGGTCAGAGTACTTTAATTCTTTCAAAATCTTTCCTGTACTTTTCTTTAATCTGTGGTAGTAAATATGAAGTAAAGATGGTTACCAGTCTAATTTCTTAAGCTTTTATAGGAAGATAAATGAGAGAAATATTAATGATTCAGTGTCATGGGTAATTTATACATTCTGACCTCAAAATTATCTCACAATTAGTTGAAATATAAAACATCTTAAAATTTTCGCAGGTATTTCTATGTGTGAGAGTCAATAGTAACACACTAAAAGATGTATACAATATTAGTGCTAGGTAGCACATTTTATATTTTAAAATGTTAATCTTCTCTGATTCTTTCTGGCGTTGGGATCCTGGCCCCATATAAATTGTGAAGTCGGCCAGCGTTAAATGCATTGGACGCTGTCTTTATATATTTTTTTAATATTAGGAAAAGTACTGGTACAATCGAAACTAGGTAAGAGAGCAGCATGCTACCTAAAAATGTTTATGATGTGAAGACCTATTTGATGTATTAAAATTCATCTAATCCAGTAAACACTTGGGAAGTGATTTGGGTTAGAGATTGCTTTTTCCTGTTAATTAACCTGAACATAATTGTATATTTATTTGGTAGTTCGTGGATATTTTTGCTGCCTCCACTCATTGCTCTTCTCTGGCATTAAGCTACAAACGTATTCAGGATTGAGCTGCATGTATATTGATCTCATGCCAGACATTGCTACCCCCCTTTTTATTACATAATTTTTAGATGACTTTTTCTGTAACTTCTGATTTAAGTGGAATGTGGCAAAATAGTTCTAGTTAAGTTGGAGCTCCAATTAATAGGTTTCTGTTTAACAAGGATATACTGCAGCTGTAAAACTCCATATGTGTGTACAGCTCCATTCTTGGCTTTATTTGTTCTGTGACTGAGAGAAAAATGGAGTAAAACCTAGTCCATGTTTCCTAGAAGCAGGGGTGTCAGTCAGGTAAATAACTATATAATACAAGTACAATAAAATGTGTGCCATACTAGGGTTATAAAAAGAAGAAAACTATGGAAAGCAGGTCTTTGTGGTTCAGGGAGACAGGGAGTGCTTCATAAATGAGGTGACACTTTAATTAGAACTTAAAAGGTGAAGGAGATTTTCATAGTGAAAGAAGTAGGGTGGTATATTCTAAACTCAGAGAAAATAGTGGGCAAAAATACCAAGGTACAAAACATAATTTGCATTTGGGGGATAGTGTGTATATCAGCGGGGAGTGTAGCACATAAAACTTAGGGAGGGTGGTTACAATCACAAGGAGTTTAAATATACACAGAGGGTTTGAACTTATTTGATTTGCATGTAGGGAGCATTAAAGAATTTTTGAAAAGTAGACTAGATATGATTTGTGTTGTAGGAACAGGCTTCAGGCAATTCTGTGAAGGACAGATTATCATAACAGGGACACTACTTAAGGGACAATTATATTAGTCCAGGGAGAGTCTTATGAGACCCTGAAGCATGGTGGCTAGCAGAATGGAAAGAAGGGGACAAAAGTGAGAGACTTTTAAGATACGTTTAGGGAATACACTACACTTCTTAGCAGTTTGAGTGAGAAACTGATTAGAGAACTGAAATACTCAGCTGTTAATGATCCCAAAAATGTCAGTATGAGTCAAAGAAGGGTAGGATTAGTAATAGCTATAGTCGTTGGAGACTGGGGTGGAGCTTAGCTCTGTAACCTACGTGCAGTCTGCTGATAACTTGCCTAATCCACACAGTGGTTTTCAAAAACTAGAATGAATTGTGAGTGTCTAAAAAATGGAACTTTTAAGGTAAAATATGGCATTCTTGGTTCTCTTGAAATACTGGATGATCTAGCAAGTAGACTCAGATTCCTCTTTGGCAATGTAGGCTGCTTCTGAGGGGTGGCTGCCTCCTTTAGACAGAAAAGTGCTCTTCAATTATCCTAGTTCCCACCCAGGCTAATTTACACTACGTATTTAAATTTGCCACCTCTCATTTAGAGTTAGTTATATAAAAATAGCCACAGAGATGGGAGGGTAAAAGGGCATTTTAGATTGTGGTATTGGTATTATCAAAAGTCTAAAGCCTGGAATAAAAGGGTATAGGTGAGGTGAAGAGGGTAAGAAAGAGATTTTTACTACTGATAATACAGGTACATTTTGAAAAGAAAGGTAAAATGGGGTTGATTCATTGGTCAAAGTGTGGTTGTATTATGTCATTTTTGAAAGACAAGGACATTGGGATATGATAAGCCAGATGAAAGCCATGTGGCATCTACCCCACTCCTTGATAACAAGAATCTTGTCTTACTCATTTTATACCTCCAACGTCTTTCCCATAGTGTTGATCACCTAAAAAGCAACACTTAGTATTTATTGAATGACTGTTGAATTATTTTATGTTAGATGGGTTTGCAGAAATGTACAGTGGGATAGATTTGAGATAAGCTGTAATCAGTAGTGTGGTAATGAAAACCTGAATTTAGGTGTATTGTCATGTAAAAGGGGAGAAAAAGATATTTGGAAGGAAGAAATGACCAGTACTTGCTGGTAAGCTAAAGAAGACCGTGAAGGAGGATAAAGAGTCAAAGATGACTCTATGGTTGCTGGTCTGAAAGACTAGAACAACAGTGCTACAGAAATGAGATATTTTGGAAAGGGGAGCTAATTTGTGGGAGAGAGATAAAGAATTCAGTCTTTAAAATGGTATGGTTGAAGATAGTAATTCAACAGAAATTTACTGAAACCTCCCCTGTTCCACTGACCAGATACTGGGGACACAGCAGTAGACAAATCAAACAAAAATCTCTGCCCTGGGCTCCCCTGGTGGCACAGTGGTTAAGAATCTGCCTGCTAATGCAGGGGACACGGGTTCGGGCCCTGGTCCGGGGAGATCCCACATGCCGCGGAGCAACTAAGCCTGTGTGCCACGACTACTGAAGCCCGCGCGCCTAGAGTCCGTGCTCCACAACAAGAGAAGCCACGGCAATGAGAAGTCCGCACACTGCAACAAAGAGTAGCCCCCGTTTGCTGCAACTAGACAAAGCCGCGGGCAGCAATGAAGACCCAATGCAGCTAAAAATAAATAAAATAAATAAATTAAAAAAAAAATCTCTTCCCTATAGTGTTTACGTTAGAAAAAGGTGGGAACTTCCCTGGTGGCGCAGTGATTAAGAATCTGCCTGCCAGTGCAGGGGACACGGGATCCATCCCTGGCCTTGGAAGAGCCCACATGCTGCGGAGCAACTAAGTCCGTGCGTCACAACTACTGAGCCTGCGCTCTAGAGCCCATGAGCCACAACTACTGAAGCCCGCACGCCTAGAGCCCACGCTCCGCAACGAGAGAAGCCACTGCAATGAGAAGCCCACGCTCCGCAATGAGAAGCCCACGCTCCGCAATGAGAAGCCCACGCTCCGCAACGAGAGAAGCCACTGCAATGAGAAGCCCACGCACCTCAAAGAAGAGTATCCCCGCTTGCCACAACTAGAGAGAGCTCGTGCACAGCAACGAAGACCCGATGCAGCCAAAAATAATAAATTTTAAAAAAGGTGGAATGGGCAGAAAATAATCTAAATATAGAATATTACAGGACAAAAGTGCTATAGAGAAACATGAGAGAAAGGGAAGGGGCATGGTCATTTCAGGGGCATGGTAGCCTTGGGAAAGTGGGGAGTGCTAGGGAGGTGGGAGTGAAGTTAGAGCAGGAAGCCTGCAATTTTTAATAGGGTGTTCAGAGAAGACCTCACTGAGCCAGTGATGTTGAGCCAAGATTTGAACATGGTGAGTGAATGAGCCATGTGACTAGTGCTAAGGCCTATGACTGGAGGTTCTTATTGAAATTGAGATTATTACAGTTACGGGTAGTTACAAGGTCAGTATAAGACATCACTGTGGCAATGAGTAACTGAGGTAGCATGGAAGACAAGAGTATAGGAACAGAGGTCAAGGAAATGAGGCCAGGGTATTGAAAGAACATGAAAGCACCAATAATTAAGACAGGAGTTAGGTTAGAGAGAGGGATGGTGACCCACAAGCTAAGTTATTCAAGGAATAAGGGCTAGTAACCTACCAGTGTATAAATGCCTGTAAAGAAAGATAGTGTGGGTGTTAGAATCATGACATGAGATTCAAAGCTGAAGCAGAATGGACTGTAAACACCTAGAATAAAAGTTGTTTTGTAATCTTCATTATCCTGAAATAAAATAATAATTTCCAGTTGTTAATGAAGCTTTCAAGTGGAGATTTGCAAAGGTTGAGTGTTAGTTTCTTATGGGTATATTATCTAACTAGCAAAATGAGAAAAAAAAGTTTCGAAGCCTGACTTATCACTGATTATATAAAGATAATTGTTGCTTTTTCGTGGGCTCTTGTAAAGAATAAATTTCTGGTGTTTTAGCAGATGGGAAATAAGACCAAGATTGCAAAATGTCCTTTAAGAAATAAACAAACTGGATACATTCTGAAATCACAAAATACTTGTGTCAGGAGTGAAAAACTTTCGCAAAAGAAGAGAATTGGTTCAGAAACTTCATTGGCCAAAAGTGAAAAAAATAGTATGACTTTTTCACCAACTAAGGATTTATGCAAGCAGTATGCAGATAAAGACCATCTTCATATCCAGAAAGAAATTTCACCTGCAACCCCTAATATACAGAAGACTAGAAACAGCATAAATGCATTTGTAGTAGCTAAACAAAAGCCTTGCAAAAAGCACATCACAGCTGAAAATGTGAAGAGCAGTTTGGTGTGTCTAACACAAGGCCAACTACAACAGATTTTGATGACTGTAAACCAAGGAAATAAATCAGTTTCCCTGACTGAGAATGGAAAGAAGGAGGAAACAAGTAAGATTTTTCTGAAGTTTTAATATTAAGTTTATCAATATATAAGTTTTAGAATTTGAGTTTCATTGGATTTTACATAACTGTGCCTCTTAAATTCTAGTTTAATGTAACAATGTTTTAAAATAAATATTCGTTTAGAAAACATTCTCATAGGCAGAATTACTTTTGTAGTTAAAATATGCCATGTTTTAAGGTTAATGCTCAGAATATTATTCTCATGTACCATGGCCTTAAGAAACCTAGTTTCTGTGGATTCTAGATTTTAGTTCAGAAAGCTATTGTACTAATTTTGGAAGGTAGGAGGCTTTACTTACATGAAAACTAATTATGTAAAATGTTCTAAAAAAATTGCTATTGTATTTCTAATGAAAAACGAGGGAATTTTGCTATGAAGATTTGACATGAGTTGCTGAAAAGGATTATTTTCCTGGCCCCGGCTTTTGCTCTTCCTGACTTTCAATCCTTGCTAAGAATTGGCAGCACTATCTTTTTAACCAGCGTAAAACACTGACTTGGAAGTAGTGGCGTATTATATGCCTTCTGTTTTAGTAGTCAGGGTATTGTATTATGTTTTTAAAAGCCTTCTAGTTTTAGCTTTGAGCTAAGGAATTGTGACTATGAATAGAAATATTATTAAAATTTTGTTAAGCAACCGTGAAATAAATAAAAATAAAATTAACAGTCACCAGGAAGAGGCTCCACAACTGGTCTGGGGACTAGGTAGCTCCTTAGCACTCCCAAGGGGCTCAAAATGGAGTCATTTGCCTTCTCTTGGTATAGATTATTCTTTGTAAAGTCAGGGAGCTAACTTTTATCTTTAAGGCTAGAATTCTAGTTCAAAGAACAAAAAATAAAAACTTACTAGGCGTAATGAGAGATGATATCAACAAAGTTAAAAGCAGAATTTGCCTAATCATATAATGACCCGCATATTAGATATGCTTTCTCTCCATTGGGAGAACTATCACATTGAGGGATTTTTGAGCCAAGCTTATGAGCCCTGTGTAAAACATTTGGAATAGATACAGCTGGGATATAGAGACAGTGGTCCATGGAAAAGATCATCACTGATTGCTTTCCCAGCTAAATGAGAAAAATAAGGGCAAGGTAATGAGTTTTTTATAAAGCTGTTTGCATTTATTCTCCTTTAAGTTGTGATTTGTATTATCATTTATATTATTTGTAAAAGTGTTGTTGGCAAGAGTAAATGGAGGTTTTTCTGGTTGTTGCTTGTTTTCTTACTTGAAACAGAAGTTTGTATGGCTGTGGCCATACCTCTGGGCCATTTAACTTCTGAGGCCCAGTTTCCTCTTTCGACAAAAAGGGAATCGTAATACGCACTGCAAGGACTGCTGTGAGAGGTGATTAATTAGATGATGTATAAAGCCGTGTTTTTTAAAACTGCGTAACTGTATCAAGATAAGGTATTATAATAGATGTAATTTTAGTATTAATTTTAAAACATGCATTTTACCTTCTAGGTCAGTATAGTCTAAATTTAAACAATATTCCTGATCAGCCAAAGGATGAGAACATCATGGGACTTCTGCAGAAAACTGAGGCCATTTCATCTGTTCAGGATGAAAAAAAGTCTGTTTTAAATGAAAATCAGGTGACATCTAATCAGTATGAGCAAAAAATTGCCACGTATGTAACTCACATCTGTTGTTGTGGGGTCATCTTGGGAATATGGTTTTACTTTTCCTTGACTTGTATGTGAAATATTTACTCTGAAGACTAGAGCTATTTAAAAGTTTATTACTTAATATTTATGGAGTAAGTTGTATAGAAACATATGATAAGGTTTCTGTTATTTTTTGTGTCTTGTCTTAGAGAGAATATATGGAAACCAGCTGACATATTCAGTACTCTGGGAGAAAGAGAACGTGATAGAGGTTTGTTGGAAGCAAAAAAAGCCCAGTGGAGGAAAGAGCTTGGTAGGTAATTATTGCACATTTTATTATAGTTTTGTTGGCTTAAGGAATGTATATTGAGGATGAAGTACATCTTGCAGTATGGCATTATCAAAAACCTTGTTTTATAACATTGACCATCTAGAGTAGTTTTCTGCAAATGGCATAAGAAACTTTGTGATTTCACATTCCCTTATGTTATACCTTTTTGTTTTCTGCTCTGTGGTGTGCACCAAAAGCCACAGATGAACATTAATATCATCAGTACCCTTCTGGAGCTCAAAGATTCCTAAACATTTCTCATTTCCTGAGAATCCATTTTAATATTTTTCCATTACAGAAATTCTGTGGGTTAAAGATGGTTTTATTTAAAAATAATTCATTTAAAAAATTAAAACATTCTAATCAAGAATCATCAATATGATATCAATCAGTATATCCCATACAAAAATAAGCTTATTTCTTTTCTTCAGTCTGTAGACATCATAACAGAAAAAGTTATAATTTCTGTTAAGTAGGGTCTTAAGGTAAGTAAGATAATAACTAAGAAACTCCTGTTACTTCTTGGAATAGACTTAGGGTCCAGGTATCAGAGTTTGGAAAATACACGAGGTAATAGTTGTACTTGGGAATAGTTGTACTAAAAGCATGAAGATGGGATTCACTGTCCACTGAACTGGAAAATCCTGCCAGTTAGTCACAATCCTTCCAGGACAGGTGATCTAGAAAAAGATAAGCGAAGAAATAGGGAATGAATTGATGTTGGAAGTCAAAGTAATAGAATAATAAAGAAATTAAATGTATGGTAGCAGTATCAGAAGGTTTGGAGATCTGATGTGTTTTATATCATAATTGCAGCTTTAAATGTTTGTTCAGTACAAATTTGGACACATGATTTTATGTACCTTACTTTTCAGCAGTTACAAATAATAATGGCTGACATTTATTAAATATTTACTTTGTGTGAGGCCCTATACTGAAAATAGACATCATTATTGCTCTGATTTCACAGAATAAAAAATGGGGTTTAGAGGGATGAACATCATTTTGCCTTCAGTCACACAGCCGGGAAGTGGTTGAACCTGAATTTGACCCCAGGGTTCTCTGACTCCAGAGTTCTAGCTTTTAAGCCTTTTAGTAATAATTAAATGAACATTACTGTAGAGTAGAACCTCACAATAATTAGCATAATATAAATTATGTTCTGAAAAAATTGCTCCTTATTTATAATTGTAGTAAAACAAACATTTTTACATCCATTTATGCCATACTTAAATTTGGTTCTGATTAAACATTTTCTTTTATTCCATATCCTTAAAATTCTTCTCTGTCTTGTGAGTTAATCTCCTTCCTAAAAAACAGTTTTGATCTGTGTTGGAATCTGCACTCTTTAAGAAGGTCATGATTTGTTTACGTCATTTTTTTTTACAGTTTTTGTATATTTTTTTAAAAAGGACATTATTTACAGATGAACAGGTTGCTTTAAAGAAGAAAGAAAAAGAAGCGTCTGAAAAATGGAATAATCCATGGAAAAAATCTGAAAGTGATAAAATAGTGTGGGAAAAACTTCAAATTCTCGATCAGGCTAAGGTAAAAGTATCAAAATCAGGCACTTATGGAATATAAGATACCTTAACTGCACTTTTTTAATGCTAAGCCTTGTTTATATCATACAGCTTTTTTTTTTTTAAATAAATTTATTTATTTATGGCTGCGTTGGGTCTTTGTTGCTGCACGCGGGCTTTTCTCTGGTTGTGGTGAGTGGGGGCTACTCTTCGTTGCGGTGCACGGACATCTAATTGCAATGGCTTCTCTTGTTGCGGAGCATGGGTTCTAGGCGCACGGGCTGCAGTAGTTGTGGCTCACAGGCTCTAGAGCGCAGGCTCCGTAGTTGTGGTGCACAAGCTTAGTTGCTGCACAGCATGTGGGATCTTTCCCGACCAGGGCTCGAACCTGTGTCTCCTGCATTGGCAGGCAAATTCTTAACCACTGTGCCACCAGGGAAGTCCCTCATAAAGCTTATTTTTGAAGCCTATTCATTTTTTTAGAACTCACTTTTCATATGGTATTTTAAAACAACGTTATTTTGAATTAAATTATGACCTCAGCTACTCTGTTTGCATTCTGTAAATAGTCTTACTATGTTAGTAGGTGAGTGTAAAGGCCCCTGGCCCCTCCTTTAGGCTCCTATAAAAGAGCTCCACGATGTTATAGATGACCACAAAACTCTACCACTGACCATGTGGTATCCACTGCAAGGTTATCAAATCAAACATAAGTGATTGCTTATCAAACATAAGTATATACCATGTGTCCCTCGGGTAGTGCTTTGGGGACCTTTAAATTTTGCATGTATTTAATACTAGACAAAAAAGTGCCCTTGTTTATCGTTTTGTTGTTAGACTTCTGCTAGCTATTCTAGCATTCTGTCACAGTCTCCCAGTCAGGTAATGGTGATCCAGGCTGACAGGCATTCACTGCCTAGAGCTAGTCAGATTTTAGAGGTAAGTTCTAAATGTCATTACTTTGAATATATAAGCTCTTTAGTACATGATGACTATATAACTTATTTTCCTTGAAGAAGTGAATCTAAATACTCTTTTAAATCACCAGTTAATTTTTATTGAGTGCAGTATGCTCAAGTTTTTCTAAAATTTATTTATTTTAATTTTGGCTGCGTTGGCTCTTCGTTGCTGCGCGCGGGCTTTCTCTAGTTGCAATGAGCGGGGGCTACTCTTCGTGGCAGTGCTTGGGCTTCTTGTTGTGGTGGCTTCTCACATTGCAGAGCACGGGCTCTAGGTACGTGGGCTTCAGTAGTTGTGGCGCATGGGCTCAGTAGTTGTGGCTTGCGGGCTCTGGAGCACAGGCTCAGTAGTTGTGGTGCACGGGCTTAGTTGCTCCGCGGCATGTGGGATCTTCCTGGACCAGGGTTCAAACCCGTGTCCCCTGCATTGGCAGGCGGATTCTTTTTGTTTTTTTTTTACATCTTTATTGGAGTATAATTGCTTTACAATGTTGTGTTAGTTTCTGCTGTATAACAGAGTGAGCCAGCTATATGTATACACATATCCCCATATCCCCTCCCTCTTGTGTCTCCCTCCTACCCTCCCTATCCCACCCCTCTAGGTGGTCATAAAGCACCGAGCTGATCTCCCTGTGCTATGCAGCTGCTTCCCCCTACCTATCTATTTTACATTTGGTAGTGTATATATGTCAATGCTACTCCCTCACTTCGTCCCAGCATCCCCTTCCCCTTCCCTGTGTCCTCAAGTCCATCCTCTACATCTGCATCTTTATTCCTGTCCTGCCCCTAGGTTCTTCAGAACGATTTTTTCTTTTTTTAGATTCCATATACATGTGTTAGCATACGGTATTTGTTTTTCTCTTTCTGACTTGCTTCACTCTGTATGACAGACTCTAGGTCCACCCACCTCACTACAAATAACTCAATTTCATTTCTTTTTATGGCTGAGTAATATTCCATTGTATGTATGTGTCACATCTTCTTTATCCATTCATCTGTCGATGGACACTTAGGTTGCTTCCATGTCCTGGCTATTGTAAATACTGGACAGGCGGATTCTTAACCACTGTGCCACTGGGGAAGCCCTGCTCCTTAAATTTTAAAAAAGTTATTAACTATTTCTTTTTTTCCTTCCTAATGAACATTTACATTTTAACAAATGTATTCTGAAAATAAGGCAGTAACCTAAAGGTATGATTCTGGTGGTAGACATTTTCAGTACTGGTAGAGTTCTTATAGAACCCTGCCAGTTAGATTGTTTGCATGGCAGCTTGTTCTGCTCCATATAGGACTGACTAGCCTACATCAGTTTATAGTCTGTTGATAATTTTACGTTAACAAAAGGAATGAAATATGAATTACGTTTTTCTGTGTTCCCAAAAGCACTTTGACCAAATGTTAAAAGGCAATAAATTAGTCTTTCTAGAAGTTATTTTGGAAAACTCTATAGTTCTGGATGATAATTCTAAGTTTTTAAAGTTTAGAAATTGATGCATGCACATACTACTAAAAACTGCAAATAAAACTACACATGACGTCCTTGAGAATCAGTTGTAAGCTTATTTACTTTTCAACATGAGGATTAAAAAAACTTTAATTCTAAAAGTATTAGGTATTTCTGTTACCGAAATGTCAGTTGAAGTGTTAGCATGTCATTTATTATTGCTTATTTCGCATGGCTTTTTAGGTCATTTATTATCTGGGAGTAATCCATACTATGATTGTTAATGAGATAAAGAATTAACCATTTAAGGTGACTTTTAGTTTTTTTGCTTTTTTTTTTTTGGATGATAGCATGTGTCATTTTTTTTTAATAATCTAGAAAACCAGTAAAGTTATTTATATTTTAGAGTCAGAGATAGGGGTTGGGGATGGGAGAAAGACTAGAAAGGAAATCATATACTAAATCCAGGGTTGGACAACCAAGGATTAGAGTATGATTACCTATGCATATTTTTACTGTTTAAATGTAGTTTTTATGTATTTATGTGTTAATGCTGTAAGATAATGGAGAGGTGCTACTGGGGGGACATGAACTGCAACAAAAAAATCCCCCTTTAAATACCTGAAAGCAGTTGGCTTCATAAATCCCAGCCATAGCCACAACCATTTATATTATTTGAATATTAAGTTAACCTCTTCATGTAATTGAGAGGAGGAGAAATTTAGTTGCAAGCAGAATCATCAAGGCCAATTTTGTTAAAACATGAGGTAATGCGGGGCTTCCCTGGTGGCGCAGTGGTTGAGAGTCCACCTGCCGATGCAGGGGACACGGGTTCGTGCCCCGGTCTGGGAAGATCCCACATGCCGCGGAACGGCTAGGCCTGTGAGCCATGGCCGCCGAGCCTGCGCATCCGGAGCCTGTGGTCCGCAACGGGAGACGCCACAACAGTGAGAGGCCCGCGTACCGCAAAAAATAAAAATTAAAAAAACATGAGGTAATGCATATTAAGTGCATAAGACAGTGGCTGACATATAACAAGTGTTTAATGAAAGTTTGCTCTAGTTATAATTTACAAAGCACAGGTCCATTCTGAACCCTGAGGCTGCTAAGAGTCAATCCTCTCACCATCTTCCTTTCCTCTCGCCTCTTCTTGATTCTCAGTCTTACTCCTCCTCCCCCAGTTGAATGGTCCTGTATTCTCTTTCCTGTATTGTTCAGCCCAAACATTTTTTTACACTGTGCAGCTTAAAATTTCTTTTTGTGTTTCTAAGAAATTTACTTACAGCCTCAGCCTTTGTGAGAATACGCCACCTCCATGAAACCTTGGCTTTCCCTAATGACTACCCCTTCCTGGGAAGCCTCTTAAGTGAAGGGAGTATATTCTAGCATACTAACATGGGATAGAAAGTGAGGTTATCATTCTGCTAGCTTCTTACTGCTACCACCAGACCATAGTTCTGCAGTTAGCCAACAAAAGATTCCTCTTAATTTTCGGTGGTAAAAATTTGGTGGTAAAATATACATAACATAAAATTTACCCTTTTGTGGTGGTAAAATATACATAACATAAAATTTACCATTTTAATCGTTTTTAAGTGTACAGTTAAGCGGCATTAAGTGCATTCACACTGTGTTGCAACCATCACCACTATCCATCTCCAGAATTTTTTAATCATTCCAAACTGAAACTATACCCATTAAATAGTAACTCCCCATTTCTCCCTCCCCTTAGCCCCTGGCAACCACCATTCTACTTTCTGTCTCTATGAATTTGATTATTCTCAGTATGTTTAAGTGGACTAACACAATATTTGTCCTTTTGTGTCTGACAGATTTCACTTAATGTTTTCAGGGTTCATCCATGTTGTAAACATGTATCAGAATTCCATTCCTTTTTAAGGCTGAAAATATTCCATTTTATGTATGATACTACATTTTGTTTATCCATTCATCCAAATGTTGATGGACATTTGAGTTGTTACCACCTTTTGGCTATTGGGAATAATGCTGTTATGAACCTTGATGTACAGATAATCTCTCCAAGTCTGTATTTGCAAGTCTTCTGGGTATATACCTATAAGTGAAATTGCTGGATCATATGGTAATTTTATGTTTTATCTTTTTATGTTGAATTTTTACCAGTTTTAATTTGATAACTTTATTTTTAATTGTTATACCGTTTCCACAGCTCCTGCACCATTGTGCATTCCCATCAGCAGTGCACAAGGGTTCTGATTTCTCTACATCTTCACTAACACTTGTTCTTTTCTTTTTTTCTTTTTTTTTTTTGGTTGATAGCCATCCTAATGGATGTGGAGTGGTGTCTCATTGTAGTTCTGATTTACATTTCCCTAATGATTCTTGATGTTGAGCATGTTTTCATGTGCTTATTGGCCATCTGTATATCTTCTTTGGAGAGATGTCTATAAGTCCTTTGTGCATTTTTTTTTAACATCTTTATTGGTGTATAATTGCTTTACAATGGTGTGTTAGTTTCTGCTTTATAACAAAGTGAATTAACTGTACATATACATACACCCTCATATCTCCTCCCTCTTGTGTCTCCCTCCCACCCTCCCTATTCCACCCCTCTAGGTGGTCACAAAACACTGAGCTGATCTCCCTGTGCTATGCAACTGATTCCCACTAGCTATCTATTTTACATTTGGTAGTATATATAAGTCCATGCCACTCTCTCACTTCGTCCCAGCTTACCCTTCCCCCTCCCTGTGTCCTCAAGTCCATTCTCTACATCTGTGTCTTTATTCCTTTTCTGCCCCTAGGTTCTTCAGAACCTTTTTTTTTTTTTAAGATTCCACATATATATGTTAGCTATACGGTATTTATTTTTCTCTTTCTGACTTTTTCACTCTGTATGACAGACTCTGGGTCCATCCACCTCACTACAAATAGCTCAATTTCATTTCTTTTTATGGCTGAGTAATATTCCATTGTATGTATGTGCCTCATCTTCTTTATCCATTCATCTGTTGATGAACATTTAGGTTGCTTCCATGTCCTGGCTATTGTAAATAGAGCTGCAGTGAACATTGTGGTACATGACTCTTTTTGAATTATGGTTTTCTCAGGGTATGTGCCCAGTAGTGGGATTGCTGGGTCATATGGTAGTTCTATTTGTAGTTTTTTAAGGAACCTCCATACTGTTCTCCACAGTGGCTATATCAATTTACATTCCCAACAACAGTGCAAGAGGATTCCCTTTTCTC